GATATGGCAGTGAAATTACATACTCTTATAGTACAGAGATAGCGAAGTTCCAGTATTATGTGATTTTCAAGGTGCTGCTGTTATTTACAGGCAACAGTAGCAATCCGCTGACATTGCTGCTCCTTTATACTCTGATTTTGAGTTTGCTGGAAGAAAGCTCTAGCAGAGTTGAGCTCGTCTTTTAACATTTACTTTCCACTGTCATTTTACTGTATATGTTACTAGTGTATACAATAAAATAAAAATAAATAAATATCACATTCCATCAGGTGGAACGTCGGAATTTTTCTTTGTAATTACAAAAAAAAATAGGTACTTAAATATTTTTTTTATACAACTTAGAATGGCAAACAAGCTGACGGCCCACCTGATGGAAAGTGGTAACCGTCGCCTATAGACATGAGCGGTGCCATGGACATAACAGAGTATACTGTTTCGCCCATGATACACCCCATGCGTTGCCATTCCTGAGGACTCAGATATTATTCCTCTGTACCCTGTTAATTCACGCCATATCCCACCCTTCATACCGAAACACAGTCATGCCAACACAACTGCTTCACGATAGAAACACGAATGGGACAGAGGTACCCAAGCAATCGACTTTTGTACAAAGTCTCCCTCTGGTATTATAAAAGTGCTAATTAAAAATTATCCTCTGGTTTCTTTTTCAATGTATTTATATCGTATATATGTAGTTTTTTTCACACAATTATTATGATATCTATGTTTTAAATGTAATGAAGTAAATTTTTTAATCCGCTAATTTTATGGCCCCGTTTGTATTCTCACACCCTGAATATTCAGCCACTTGTCCAAATCATAACGTTGTGATACAAATCACTATTAACACAGTATAATTTATTTAATATCTACTTGCAATCGCATTGGACCTGAAGCTAGTGATGAGTATTGTTGCGTATCGATATTCATAAATGTAATAAATTATTAATGTTTTTTAATATTATTAAAATTTTATAATTCTAATATTTATTATGTGACCAATAAATTTATAATATTTATTTAACGATTTGAGATTAATAATTTGAAGTATTAAATGTTTTTAATGTAGCTACTTCAAATGTTTGTTTAATACTCATGTGAATACAATACAAAAATAATTATAATTAATGGCAGTAATATATTACAATAGAAGAAAATGATATAAAATTAAATTCGTAAGTAAATAAGCTTATGGACTTTTATAAAATAATCATCATGCAAAAACGAAACAAACAATTATTATTAGATAAAACATTTTTCAATATTTAATCCACTAAGCGTTGCTCGAAGTAAGGTTATAGGTAACTTAGTTAATGTATAAAATATACTATAGATAATTTGAAAGTATCTATTTTTTAATTAAACTCAAACACAAAATAAACTTTATTTATGTAAATTTATTCAAAAACTTTTTTAAATCATCATTTTTTCGTGATTCTATTGTAATTTCGGAAAATTCTCTGTTAACAGGTAGTTATTAATTACTATTTATTATTTATATATTTTATTTGTTGCTTTTTATATACTATACTACGATTTTATCTTAATTGTTATATAATAAAAATGGTAATAAAATATTATCGATAATTGTAATCTATCGACAACATGTATAATCGAATTAATCTCGTCACTACCACTCTAAAATGGTACAAAGAGTGCATGCACCCTTATTATTACACAATGACATACGTCCCCGCATGGGGTTGTTTGTGCGTGTGTTCGTACAAATTGTAGTAGGTACTTCATCGCACGATGTCTATGCACCTGTCTATGATGCTCTATGATTTTTACTTAGCTGCAAATAATTAATATAATAACAACCATAGGTACTTTTTTAACTTGGTATGATATATTTTTTATACAAAGATGTTAAGTCATGCAAACATTTGTTTCACAATAAGCGGGCACGTAGCCTATAATCATGCGTTGATGATTAGGCATTAGGCGAAGATTTTCTATTTCAATCCCATCAGCGACATCATATTTATTCATTATTTTAACAATGAGTTCAATAACAAATATGTCATCACTGTTGCTTGCCCTCATTAATCGCGTGCATGAAAGTGAAAAAAAAAAAATAGCGACGTTAAATATTTAATATCCTCGATTTCAACTGGGATGCAATAACGCTTCTCATTCCACACTTATTACGGCCGGCGCCGGTTACATTTAAACCGGCCATATCGGTCTGGAGCCCAACATTTTCCGGTCCCGTGCCGTTACGTGCATCACGCGGCCGCTTGTCCTGGTAATTGTGATATACCGGCCCCCGGGGAAAGGCGCCGGTGTGCGCCGTACCTAACGCTACCCTACGACACAGTACGGAAAAACTGCAAACGAAAGACTTATAGCTCGTTTAGTAGTTCACTGTAGTGAGATATATTGTGGAGTTATATCAATACGCTCGCTCTAACAAGATAAAGCAGCTATCAAATTAGGGATACAGTGGAATTGGAAGGATACTCGCCGATCGAAACTGTTGCGTTTCACCCCTTTTTTTTGTGAGATGTGTTGGTGCCATCTATTGAGTAAAATAGATAAAACGTCAACGGAGTGAAGTGAGACTTCAACGGTCTGCTACTGCGGTGATAGACATGAACTTCACTCGCTCGCTCTCTGTAATTAGCAATGATTAATCCTAATAATATTTCGTATAATAAACTCATATTTCACAAAAGTAACAATAAACGAGTTATTGAAGAGTTCCTGCACCCATAAATTTATACACACAAAAAGGAAAGGCGCAAACAAGATGAAAATGGAATATTCACCCCGATTTTTTTTAAATGATAATGAAATGGTAACCCCACCCGCGCTATCTGTATACACCGGCGGGGTACCAGTGAAGGATGATAGGTGAGGATGAAGTAGGTCAGTTAGCCCATCGTGACGAATTCGACAAGAATTGTTCACGATGGTTTCCAGGGGGAACCACGTAGGTCGACCTAATAAGGTATATTGCTAGCAATGGGGCTGTCAAACTCCATTGCTAACAATCCTTTTCCCCCTTATTCATCCCGATTACACAGTCGGTGTACGCTAGCAGGGTATCAGTGAGGGATGCTAAATGATAGGTGGGGATGAAACCAGATCAGTTGGCTTTTTTGTGACGAATTCACTAGGAATTAATTCGTGTTTCTGCCGTGAAGCGGTTAAGTTATCTAGCTTGCGTTTCGATTTGAACGATGGGATATGGCAGGGAAATTACAGGGTACAGAGGTATAACACCTTAGTCCTCAGGAATGGCAACGCATGAAGGGTACGACACATTATACTCTGTTATGTCCACGGTACTGCTCATGTCTATAGGCGACGGTTACCACTTTCCAACAGGTGGGCCGTCAGCTTATTTTCCATTCTATGTTGTTTAAAAAAAACATCGATTGAAGTAAGAATGTACTAAATCGGCGAGCCGTTTTAAACGAATCTTGTTTGTGATTTACAAATCTTGTAATATGTATTTTTATTATTCTAGAATAAGACAAGCAAGTAGCCTAATTTATTTATTTAGATTTATTGTATCACAATACTCGAATGCGGTACTAGTAATTATTGATATACAAACATACTAAAATTTACATTTTTTTTATACAACTTAGAATGGCAAACAAGCTGACGCCCCACCTGATGGAAAGTGGTAACCGTCGCCTATAGACATGAGCAGTACCATGGACATAATAGAGTATACTGTTTCACCCATGATACCCCCCATGCGTTGCCATTACTGAGGACTCAGGTGTTATTCCTCTGTACCCAGTAAATTCACGCCATATCGCACTCTTCAAACCGAAACACAGCCATGCAAACACAACTGCTTCACGGTTGAAACACGAATGGAACAGAGGTACCCAAGCAATCGACTTTTGTACAAAGTCTCCCTCTGGTAAACATATATAGACGAATGAATATATATAAATAACAAATATACTTAAATATACGAAAATGAGATTATTATATTGTATTTATTGCTCGGATAAAATATAAAAGTGAGCATGTTTTTTTTTTAAAGACAGTTTAGTCGGCGGTCTCTTAATGGTATCAGGAAACGCGTAAATATATTTACAACTAGCGGCCCGTCCGGCGTCGCACGGGTGGACATTTTTACATTTTAAAAAGTGGCCATTAAGGCTGCACACGCGACGGAAGCTTAAAAATGGAGTAATTTCTCCCGTTTTCTCAATATTTCCCTTCACTGCAGCGTGATGAAAAGTATACTATAACCTGCCCAGAAGTGTGAAGAATAATTGTACCAAGTTTCGTTAAAATCCGACAAGTAGTTTTTGTTTCTATAACGAACATACAGACAGACAGACAAAAATTTTACTAATTGCATTTTTGGCATCAGTATCGATTACTAATCACCCCCTGATAGTTATTTTGGAAATATATTTCATATACAGAATTGATCTCTCTACAGATTTATTATAAGTATAAATAAAGACATAGATTTAAATTTTTTCACTGGAGTTGCAAATAGAATAAATACAATATATAATAATTACAATATATATTGTTTAAATTCATAACAAAGCTTCTAAATATATAGGTATTAACATTTATAATTTTTTATTTTATTTTTAATTTATATATTTAAATTTAAAATATCATGGAAACAATATAAACTATCGACGTGTGCGCATATGGTAACTCTTCCCATGCACTCGAAACACTCATTTGCCCAACAAAGGCGGGCAACAACCAAAGCATATTGGCAAAACACTCCCGAGCAATCCACGTCACAACATTCGTCCCCCATGCAACACACAAGTGTTTGCACTCATAAAGAATGACTGCAAATCTGCACAAAGATTATTGTTTATATTTCAGTACAGAGCCCAGCCATTATGCGCGCTGGGTCCCCTTTGTTTGCAATAAAACGTCCGATTTAACATGAATACAGAAGTTAATTCGGCAAGAAATAATAATCAGCGCGCCGCCCCTACTAATTCTATTTGTCGTAGAGAATTTGACAGTACGATAAAACGAATTACAAAAAGCCTTTTTTCTCGCAGATGGGACACCACGGGATGGAGGGGCTGGATATGCTGGATCCGCTGACGTCGTCGTCGATGACCACCCTCGCGCCGATGGGCGAGGCGGCGCCTCCGCACCACCAGCTGCACGGCTACGGAGCGATGAACCACGTCATGAACCACCACCACCACGCGGGCGGCCTCGCGCACGCTCCGCCGGCCCACCTAGGCCACCCGGCAGCGGCCCTCCACCCAGACACAGACACAGACCCGAGGGAACTCGAGGCTTTCGCGGAAAGATTCAAACAGCGACGAATCAAACTAGGTGTCACTCAGGCCGATGTAGGGAAAGCGCTAGCGAATTTAAAGCTACCCGGTGTGGGTGCGTTATCACAGAGCACGATCTGCCGCTTCGAAAGTCTCACCCTAAGTCATAACAACATGATAGCACTAAAGCCTATACTGCAAGCGTGGTTGGAAGAAGCAGAAGCACAAGCGAAAAACAAACGGCGGGACCCCGACGCGCCGAGTGTTCTTCCAGCTGGCGAGAAGAAACGCAAGAGGACGTCGATAGCCGCGCCGGAGAAGAGAAGTCTCGAGGCGTACTTCGCAGTGCAGCCCAGACCCTCGGGCGAGAAAATAACGGCCATCGCGGAAAAGCTGGACCTAAAGAAGAACGTGGTGCGCGTTTGGTTCTGCAATCAGAGGCAAAAACAGAAGCGCATGAAGTTCGCGGCGCAGCACTGACCGGCGGGAGGCGGCGCGGCGCTGCTGTACCCGAGCTCCGGGTACGGGTACTGAGCCGCCCGCACCCCTAGCCCTGGCCACCGTCGGCCACCGCGGGCCACCGCTGGCCACCATAGGCCACCACCGGCCACCACCGGCGCCCCCACCCGGCGACCTTTCGTGAGCAATAAAGATCTTGTTTCGATCGCAATCCTTCGACACTCCCCCAAGTCAAAGCAACTTAGTCATTAGTGTAGATATGTATAAACCGAATTGTGTTTCTTTTTACACTTTTACAATGACTTCTTATATATTTTTCGAGACACAGGGTATATAATTGATTATATACATATCATTACAATAAATAGAAGTCGCTTCATCATACATCGTTATGTTCTTACGCGCCGCGTTTTGATGTTTTTGGAGCATCGAATATGTACATGAAAAATTGAAATTCAGGATTTTTAAGAGAATGTGCCTTGCAAATAATCAATATTCTGTGTTTAATGTTAGTAACTACATCGCTGCGTGTCGCAGGAATCGAACTGGACACAAAAATGTGAGGGGTCCTCTCTGATGGACACCGAGCAACGCAATAGGACACTATCGTGTTTAGATTAGGCAGGTAACATGCGTCAATGAACGATTATGTTTGAGAATGATCTCGTATCTACCACTCCTACGTCACGACACGACACGACACGACACGACACGACACGACACGACGCGAACTATCTTCACTGTTTACGTGCATGTTACTCGTATCTAATCTGTACACAGCCTAATGTTTATATTGTACCTATTGATTGAATCATTTGTTAATTATGTATGTATGTTGCGTTCTTATATTATTGAAATTGTACAAAATAAATGTAAGAACATTCTGTCGCGTTTAAGTTATAGGATAGTACTCGAAAGTTTATAATTGCGTTTCATTTGTTCTGTATTTTATTTATTTCCAAATTATAACATTTCACAAGATGGCACAATTTTAGAATAAGAAGTTATTAGTGACAGTTAGCCAAAATAGTGTTAATATTCATTTGTAAATAAATCACATTTCAATTTACAACTAGGCATTAGTTTAAATACGTATAGTTACTAAATTGAAAGGAATTAGTACAACGCAGATGGGTTCGTGCATTAACAATTAGTTTTTGTTCACTTTATTTTTTCTTTTATTATTTCACTGGATTATATTTCTTTTTATAAATTAATTTATTATTATAATAAACAATAATAAAGAAAAAAAATTAGAATAATTTCATTTCATTTAAAATTCGAAGTGAAAAATATAAATTCGTAATGAGAACAATCGAATCGTTTAGAGATAAATCGATTTGCATGAATCCACATAAAGGTGGTAATGCACCACACAGCTTAAGAACAAAAAAAAAACATTAAAAAGTTTGCGAATTATAAATAATATTTTTAAATGATATTTTGTAAATATAGTATTAAAGGAATTAAGTTAATAAAACGTGCAATTTAGACCTCGGTAATAATAATTATTAATTATAATTAACTGCTAGGAATTTATTGTCAATTATGACAAATAAATACTACTTACCAAATATTATGACGCTTTATTCTCATTACTGAACTTAGTCATAACTATAATTTTCTTAAAATAAACATTCGTAATGTCAACAATTTTCTATACTTTATAATGATATATTATATATTATCATAACTCTTGTTATATATATATATATATATATGTATTATGTAACAAGTAGTTTTATTTTTGGCAAAACACATGACAGCTATAATTTTGTTTTATTTTTTATTCACTTTTATATAGACTTGTTCTAATTAAATTAATATAAAATCAAGTTTATTGGGAAAATAGAATCTCGTATTTCTATTTTATCTACCATTTTGTGATCAATTACGGTTGACTATCTACGTATTTATTTATTTCTTACTAATAATAATAATAATAAAAAAAAATGCCTATTTTACAATATGCACAGACATGTTTAAACCTGGTCAGTAGGAAATTTTTGTGAAACGTTATTCTCTACAATGCACTGCAATATGTGCTCGTGATTCCAACCAACTGTTTATTTAATTAAGAAAAATTACATTTAATATTAACTATTCATAATTGTTATTAATCGAAACATTTATTTTTGGATAACAACATTTGTTGTTACGTGTATTATTCAAATTAATTTAATATTTGATTTTATTTTAATGAATAAAAAAGAAAAAAAACTAAATATCTAACCTATGGTTGTAATTACGACACAATAATTCAGTTCGAGACCTTAGTACGAGTACAGTGTTATTATTAGTACTTAAATAAAAGGAGAATAATTAATAATAGACCGAATGTAATTATTATTGCGATTAGTTTACCAACAACCCATTCGTGCCGCATCTATATGTTTCGAACTAACAATAAACTGCGGATATAAATACATATCGATTCAGTACTCAGATAATTAAAAAAAATATTTAATTATTATAATAAAAATAAAGTACGTTTTATTCAATGCGTTTAACAATATTATATTACACGTATCGTTCTCAGAATGTGGATATTACAGAACCGAAATAATTAAGTTGAATGAGTAATTTAAAATACAAAAGAAATATTTCCGTAAGAAATAAAATATAGAAATAATACTTGTGAGACTCTTATCGATAATTTCTAACAATCCATTTTGTTATAAATATTTTTAAATAATTATAATTTAACGTATGGATGCGGAAGCAATGGGTGATAAGTTAAAATGTAGACATTAGAAGTTTCTCTTGCAATTATTAATTCTTAATTAATTATTATTATTAATAATAAAAGGAGACAATCTTATTTCAAAAACCAATAAACAATAAATTGGAAATAGAAATATTAGTAAAGATATGTGTTTTATTAATTTGCATAATTTTTTAAATTGATTCCATGAAGCTGGCGATAGGGTGTTATTTGCATGGAATATTATAGACACCAACAATGAGTTAATGTTACAAAGAAATAAATAAGATGAACAAAAAATACCATGAAGGTAATCTATTGTTTACTAAGAACGCATTTAATCAATCATTACATAAGTAGTATATACCTATTTTAATGAGAAATAGCATATGAGTGTTACTATCCCATGCATATACTTACTCGGTGTTGCCACTGTAATAAAAATTAAAGTGTTACATCTTTACATTATACAGATAGAGTGTCTCCATAGAAATGCTTCGAGAAAAACGGGTCATCTTTTTCATATAATTCTGCGTGATAAATAGTTATGAGTGATTCCTTTATAACTTCTATATTTATTTTGTCTTATAAATTCTGCATTTTTTTTTAATGCGTAAACACTCATTTTATTTATTAAATAAATAAATATAGATACGTCAAGATACATTGTGTGCGTAAGTATAGTAGTACATTAATAAAAAAACCTAGTCAGCTAATTCGACAATTAGTTGATAAAAAGTTGACCCGTTTTTGAAGGATTAAGAAAAAAAAGGTATTGAAACAGGTTATAGTTGAATGTTTAGCAACTATCATTATAACAGAATTGTATAGGGGGAAAGGGATTTTTAGTAATGGAGACTGAGATTCCCGTTGCTAGCAATATACCCAACCAGGTCGATCTCCTCGCGGTTACCCCTGGAAACTATCATGATTAATTCCAGATAAATTCATCATGATGAGCTAACTGCCCTGTTTTCATTCTCATCGATCTCCCTTCACTGGTGCCCTGCCAGCGTATTCCGTTAGCGCAGGCGGGGTTACCATTCCATTTTCATCCAATAAAAAAAACACAGAATTGTATAGGCTAAACATTAAATGGACAAAAATATAAATATAAAATAGATAAGTCCATTAGTCCATGGGCCGTGTGGCCCCGGCATAGAATAGACCACCCCTTCCTTTCCCGTGGGGGTCGTAAGAGGCGACTAAGGGAGGGCGGAAGATGGGCAGCAGCGTCACTATTAAAACATGTCTAAAGCCTAATTGCGGTTGGCAATCCGCCTGCTAACTGTGGCAAGTATTGGCAAAACCCCTCAAAGGGGAAGCTTACGATCAGCAGTAGACAGTTCTAGGCTGATATGGTGATGATGAAGTCCAATAGTAAATCAGTATTGTTTAAAAACGACGCGTCCATTGCACTCGCAAATTCTAAAAGGTGACTTCAATGTTATGTCAATGCACAAGCCTTAATTGACAAGTTACGAGTGATCTGACAATTACCTAATAGCCAAAATGAGGGGGAGAAGGGATTGTTAGTAATGCGGATTATCAGTTCCATTGCTAATAATATACCCTAACAGGTCGACCTCCCCGTGGTCTCCCCTGGAAACCATCGTGCTGAATTCCAAGTGTATTCATCACGATGGACTATTTGACCTGCCTTTTCATCCTCATCTATCATCTATCACTGGTGCGCCGCCAGCGTATACCGTTAGCGCAGGCGGGGTTACCATTCCATTATCATCCATTAAAAAAGAAATAACCAAAATGATCAAGGTTCGCATCTGCCATACATATCGTTTCTCCAATTAAAACAAATTCAATACAATTTTGAGTTTTTTTTTTTTTTTTACAACACAGGGGGCAAACGAGCATGCGGCTCACCTGATGGTAAGTGACTACCGCCGCCCATGATCACCCACAACACCAGCGGCATTGCAGGTGTGCTGCCGGCCTTTTAAAAAGGAATATACTCTTTTCTTGAAGGTTATGTTGTCGTATCGGTTCGGAAATACTGCTGCTGGAAGTTGATTCCAAAGAATGGTTGTGCGTGGAAGAAAGTGCCTTGAAAAACGCACGGTGGAAGACCGCCACTCGTCCAGATGATTGGGATGAAACTTTAGTTTGTGGCGGGTTGTACGGTGGTGAAAATCAGCAGCAGGTATCAATCCGAACAATTCCTCAGAACACTCCCCATGATAAATTCGGTAGAAGATGCAAAGAGATGCAACATCTCTGCGCAGTTTCAGTGGATCAAGCCGGACAGTAAGGCGTTGACTATCGATAATTCGAGCCGCCCGACTCTGAATGCGGTCTAACGGAAGGAGTTGGTACTGTGGCGCTCCTGCCCACAGGTGAGAACAGTATTCCATATGCGGCCTGACTTGGGCTTTATATAATTTCAGGCGGTGTTCTGGCATGAAATATCGTCTCACCCTATTGAGCACTCCTAACTTTTTGGAAGCTATCTTAGCTGAGTTGCCTATATACGTTATCATCATATCAGACTGCTGAATATAAGCCTCTGGGGGGAAAAGGGATTGTTAGTAATGGAGACAAAGAATCCCATTGCTAGCAATATACCCAACCAGGTCGACCTCCTCGCGCTTCTCCCTGGAAACTATCATGATTAATTCCTGATGAATTCATCATGATGGGCTAACTGGCCTGTTTTCATCCTAATCGATCATCCTTCACTGGTGCTCCGCCAACGTATCCCATTAGCGTAGGCAGGGTTACCATACCATTTTCACCAATCAAAAAAAAATAGTAGTTACCACCGCAGCAGTATTTTTTTTAATAAAACTTAGAATGGTAAACAAGCTGACGACCCACCTGATGGAAAGTGGTAACCATCGCCTATAGCCATGAGCAGTACCATAGACATAACAGAGTATACTGTTTCACCCATGATACCCCCCATGCGTTGCCATTCCTGAGGACTCAGGTGTTATTCCTCTGTACCCAGTAAATTCACGCCACATCCCACCCTTCAAACCGAAACACAGCCATGCAAACACAACTGCTTCACGGTTGAAACACGAATAGGACAGAGGTACCTAAGCAATCGACTTTTGTACAAAGTCTCCCTCTGGTAACCGTAGTAAGTAGTGGCAACCGTAGTCTGGCATTTGGCTGGATGTTTTAAGAGGGATACTGCTGCCCATTTCTCGACCATAAGCTGTCTTAGTTGCCTCTTATGACACCCACCTATACCCGCCCACGTTGACTAGATGATGATTCAGAATATAGGTAAATATTATTAAAAAATCTATTAAAAATAAATTAGTCATAATAATAATAATAATAATCAAGTAAACTTAATTACAGGTATTTTTTAATAGTATTTCTTTATGATTCTACCGATTTCCCCATACCATGAGCTTACATCTATGCACATTGTGAAACACTTCCAAAAAAAGGGAAATACAGAAAATATACTTATTAATAAAATAGTTACACAGCACGCCGTCGGTGCCGTTGGTCCCTAGAGGGCTCTGACGTATGGCGCCCCGCGGCACTAACTCACTGGCGTGGTGTACGCCCGCCTTTACACGCCTCGATGCGATCTAAGGAAATACGCTTAGAATTTTACGAAGCATCTAGTTTACAGCTAAATTACATGTTCGTTAAATTGATATTTTACGAAGCATGTAGTTTACAGCTAAATTACATGTTCGTTAAATTGATCTAATAATTATATCTTTTTAGGGAAACAATTTATATATTTTGTAAATATTGTCAAAATAAAATGTGTACAAAATATTATATATTTTGTACATTTTGTCACGCATTATTATAATTTGTGTATATAGAGCAAATTATGATATTAATATATTTTATGACACCATCTCTAAACTTTTAAATAAAATTTGTAAAGAAAATAAAGATATAATTTTCACTGGTGACTTCAATTTAGATTTTCAAAATAACAATAAATACCTAAAAGATTTTAAAGTTGTATTAAATAATTTCAATATGAAGTATATTCTTATCAAAGAGCCTACTCGTATTACAGATTGTACTGAATCCTGTATAGACAATTTTATAACTAATTTTAAGGACAAATCCGTTAGAGGCTTAGTATTAGATTATAAGATATCAGACCACAATGTTATTCGACTTAGTTATGCGTATAAAACTAAGCATGCAAGTAAAAAGGATGTTCAAAACTACATTATTAGACGACACTTTTCTAAAAGTAACTGTAATTATTTCCATCACTTAATTAATACTGACAAATTTTTCCATTATGATATATCTAAATGTAATGACCCAAATAAAAAGGCTGAAACTTTTGTACTTGGACTAAAATATTTCTATGACATTGCCTTTCCAAAAAAGAAAACTTACGTAGTTAAAAATCAACCAGTATGGGAA